TATATACTTTCTATTATTTAAACTCAGTTTTAGGCAACTTTGTACCAGGTTCCTTTTTCTTCCACGGGGTTTATTTTGCTTCCTGTGTGTTTGAGAGTGAGAATGTGCCAGCATTCACCCTCCTTAGAATGGAGATTGATTACAGCATAAAGCATCTCCTTCCTATCAGTTCTCCTTCCAGCCTCTCTGCTCTGGTGTCATTTCAGAGCCTTAACAGTGGTCTTCAAGGTCACATGCCCAGATCACAGAATCCTATCCTACAAAGCCGGCACTTTATGTTTTAACCGAGAACGGGCAAGTGTGCCTGTGACTCCAAACATCTGAAATGTGAGAACGGTGCTTTTATGCTGAAACATTACACAATCCCCAGAGCACAGAACTGCCTTCTTCCCACTGCTGCTATTTTACAGAGAGAGGAGCAGAGAAATAGGTTTCCTTAATAAAGGATGCCTGTTTGGGGGGGCAGGAAAGGGAGGGAAGGAGGAATGGGCACCTGAAAGACAGCCTTCAATTTAGACATCTTCCATCCTGGAAACGGCGGGAGAGGACACTGAAAGGACTTTTTAAAACCCCTCCTGCAGGCACTCAGAACACATAAGAGCTGGGTAAGACACCACTCAGCATCAGGGCTTTAGAATTCACATTTCTTGGTCTCAGGAATGAATCTCTGTTGTCTAACATTTGGGACCTTAGGATCAGAAGGCAGCAAGGTCTTGATCCTAACCTGGGAACAAGAATTCTCTGGATTAAATGCTTTAAGAGAAGGCTTCCTTCTCTCTTGTGAGTCTGATTTCTAGAGCAGCTTTTTCCCAGAAGGTAACTGCAAAATCTATTAGTCCCCGATAAATATTTAAAGAATCATGAAAAGATGAATTTCTTGCCACAGTTCAAATATAAAGAAATAAATACAGAAATGTATGTCCTTTAGCCTCAGGGTAGACAGGGGCAGGGGGACAAAGAGAAGTGACCCTCACTGGTTGGGGTATGCAAACAAGACCGACCTCTCCCCCGTCATCCCTCCATTCTGTCAACACACATTCATTCAGCACCGACTACGTTCCAAGCATCTGGGTTTGTGCTGGGGCACTGAGTACCCTCGCCCTACCCCTAGGGGACAGCCCTCTCCTGGTCTCTCTCCCCTTATATTTAAAAATGCAGAGAAAGATGCAGATTCACCAAGAGAAACTGAGTCAGAGCAGACAGTAATTTTTCCAACAGAAACAAACCAGGTCTGAGGAGGTGCCAGGGAGGGGTGAGGGGGCCCGGTTCTGCCCCTGTCTGGGCGGGTCACTTGGACATCACTTATAGGCTCTGGGCCTCGGTTTCTCCAATTTATAGAATTAAAGTTGTAATAAATTTCCCCGAGTCCCCTTTCAACCTTAAGCTTTTACTTTTTCAAGATTCCAAGAGGCCTTTCCGTGTCCAGCACTGTGAACCCACCAAGGAAGCGCCACGTGATGCGGTCATTCACACACACCTCTCATGTGTCTCAGCCTCTTGCCCCCGGTTATGTGTTTAAAGTCCGTAGCTGGGCGATCCCAAGTATGCCAGCGCTCAGGCACAACAATTTAGGTGGGTTTCGCTCCTGCACGCCTTTCGCACTGGGTACAGGAGTGTAGTCGCTGCCTTTACAAAGCCGGGACAGCAGTGGGGAAATTTCCCTGCTGGGAGGGAGAAAGTAGCTGGAGACCACACGGCCAGGCCTCCCGCGTGACAAGCCTAAAATCGAAGGGGAAGCATCCTGCTTTTCTGGCAAGATGTCCATGCTGGCTCCTCCAGGCTATGTGGGGCGTTCTGCCGCCGCAGCCCCGCGCTCCGCTTCCAGGCCCCTCTGCAGGGCTGCCCCTGCCTGGGAGGCAGGCTGGGCGCAGGTGCTGCGTGGCGGCCACTCGGGTGAGTGTCCGCGGCTAGCACGCCGGGACCCCTGCCCGACGCCAAACCTACGCAGGACAGCGCTGCCCTCTAGCGACCAAAGTGGGAGACCGCAGCGGCTGGTCCCCGACAAAGATCGAAGCCCTGGCGCCTCCTTTGCAGAAGGCGCTTGTGGCAGGCAAAGCACTGATCCTTTCTCTCTGGGCTCTGGGGCTCTTTGTGGTCTTCCTCTAGGGTCAGAATAGATAGATAGATACATAGATGGATGGATAAATAAACAATAAACGTAGAATAGGTAAATGAAAGACAAACCGAAAGGTAGATGGATGACATTGTTGGAAACAGGTTTTTAGGGCTTGAGCTGTGCCAGGCACAAGGCTGAATGCCTCCGTCCATTATTTCATTTGCGTGTCTCCTATGAATAGTCTTCATCTCTATTTGCCCTCTTTACCTCTGTCCCTCATCACTTCTGTCCCTCCCTATTTTCCAAACGGGGAAACTGAGGCCTCAGACAAGGTAAATGGCTTGCTTCTTGGCAATCCTCTTCAAAGCTAAGTAGCGAGTCTCAATCGACAGCCCCAGCCTCCGCCTTGGGCGCTCTGTCCTCTGCCTGCCAAACCGCTGTGCGCGCCCCGAGCCCCAGATACACATGGCTCCCGCGCCACCATAGTCCTGGCGCGCCGATGTCGCCCCCGGCCCGCATCCCCTCCCACTTGTCGAAAACCCAAGGCAACGGGTCCCCATCTTGAAAGCCTGCTTAGGGAACTGGGTGAAGGCGGGTTCCCCCCCGCGATGGCCGCACCGCGAGCGGTGCCCGGGGAACGCTGTTCCAGAAGCATGGGCTTCACCGCGTGCGCGCTTGGCGAGGGGTCTCACTAACGCGAAAAGGAAAGCTCCGTCCTTAGATTTTAAGATTCCCGGCAAGTTTCAATCATTCATTCCTTTAACCATTAACTGAGCGCCTACTAAGCGCTTGACGCTGTCAGTAAGGAGGTCTAGTGCGGGGACTGACGGGCGGACGAGTGACGACATTGGGGACGGCAGCGCCTGGTGCCCACCCGGAGCGCGGGGGCGCTCCAGGAGGAGGCGGGGGAGGCAAGTTCCCTGCCGCGAGGGTCTCCGGCTCGAAGTCAGGCTGTCTGCCAGCGAACACGCCCACCTGGGCCCTGGCCCCGAGTCCGCACCCCGGGAGGGCTATTGCAGTGCCTTAGCGCGGGGGAACTTGATCTCGGCCCACTCTCTCCCCAACTTTCCTAACTGCTTCGCCGTGTCACCTCGTCGAGGGG